GTTATACAGTATATCTAAAATATTTTCTGGCAACGCTATCTATGGATAATGCTAATCTATTCTTTGAGCATCGCCCAAATTGTGGTTAACGTATTGCATTGCTTTGTGAGTTGTTTAAAACTATTCTACTATTATTGAAAGTAATAGAAATAAAATAATTTTTTATTAACATTCATGAATATTTTATATTATGTTTTATAACTTTAATGACTGATTTTCATTTCAACGGTAATTAAATTTATTTTTCGTTAAATATTTATTCATTTGCCCTAAAATTTTTAAATTAAAATATATTCCTAAAAAAATTTCATTAAAAATCTAATTTAAAAAAACGTTACTTTGATTTTGCTTTATATAAAATGTTAATTAAATATTTTAATCATTAAAATTTAGAAAAATAATTTTAGTTTCAAAAACAATTAGAAAATTTTAATTATTTTTATAAAACCACATAAAACAAAGAATATCATTACAACATAAACTTTATAAATTTTAAACTATTGTATCATTATTTAAAACAATATCTGATTTTATTGAAATTTTATAGCATTTGCTTCAAAAAAAGTTTAATATAATATCATTTAACCTTAAATAATACTCTTTAAAACGTTATATAATCTAAATATATGTTTAGATAATTTAATTAAGAATCTTTAATGCCTACAGAGTATAAAATAATTAAATAAAAATATTGAATAACTTATGTTTTGTTTTCTTGAAATGAATGAATTATTACAACTGTTTCGGACATAAATGCCATAATTATACTAATAGTAGGAAAAGGAAAAGTCGATAAAAAACAACAAAATACTCATTAGAGAGACAACGATAGAAAAGGTATGAATTTAATTCTCGACTCAAATGATTAGTTGAAGTTTTCACAGTTTTATTGTGTCATTAACTTAATAACAAAACAACAATATTGAGCCAATTCTCTAACAATTACAACAAAAACTTTTAACTGAATGTTGAGAAAAAGGATTTCGGTTTATTTCACTCACTTTACTATTATTTCCACTTATGATAGAATTTTATATACTTTTCTTAACTTTATGTCTATTGAAAATCAATATAACAAACACTTTGTTTTAATGATTGTTTGTAATACTCTAACAATTATTGTTATTAATAATAACTTATTATTAATATTATTATACAATTAAGTGATTAAATTATTTAGTTTAAAAATTATTATTAACTTAATGTGCATTAAATGTAAAAAGGATTAATAAAACATGAGATTTTATAAAATAAAGCAAACATAGTATTAGATACTCTACTCTACTGTATAAATAGTAAATGATTTTATTTCTAGAATTGATTTAAACAACTGACGACTTTTACGGTCCGACTTTGCGATTGCTTTACAACTTAATCATTAATTCTGTTGTTAAGAATGAGTTTAGAGTTAGAACAATTCAATATTGAGTTCACGGCATTAATGTCTAAATTAATAATTTTTTAGTTGTGATAAAAATGATGAATGTATTTATGTGTATATCTTTATTCAATTCCTGGACCTAATTCTAGCGATAGAAACAAATAAATAGCTACAAACTCTTTAGACAAACTGCACAAATGTAATGACTATTTAATGAGATAATGAATTTTTTGCGGCCATAATGTAATCACATTATATCCGTTTTATAGCACTGATACAACATTAAAATGATTATGACATACCATTAGAGTCATTAAATTATACTAGTATTTTAAAAACTTAAATATTTATATTTTCAAAAATTATTATTTTGTTTAAAGATAACTGAATATATTTTCAATGAGATGTATAGATAAAGAATTAATTATTGTTTATATAACTTATATATAACTTAATATTTTACTTATTACCAAAGAAAGTGTTTGATTGTATTATATTTTTGATTAATTCAAGTGAACACATGGTGTAATAACAGGTGCGCTAATGAATCGCTTTTATATGCATTCAGAATATCTATTCAATCATTTTAATAGAAATGCTTTTTTTGCGTTCAAACTCTTTTGAGAATCAAATCTAATTTCCAATTCTTTGAAAAGTAGTTTTATATTTATGCCTTATTTTTATCATTTCCTAACAGAATATTTTATTTTTTGAACTCAAATTCTTATCCATTATTTATATGAAAAGATTGAAATTAATTATAAAACAGTTTTTGGTTTTTTCACATTTCACTTATTCTCATATTTATTATACTTTTTCGTATGTATTCATTGCCGACAGAAATGTCAGAATTATATGCTCTTCCTGTGGAACAATGCATTTGTAATACAAGTTTTATTATAATAATACACATTAGAAATAATGTTTGCAAACAGTTTTTGTGTTGCTTCTACTCAATAGGAATTCGTGTTCATCGAGTCATTTAATATTCATTTTATTCTCATATATAAGTATACAATAATATATACATATGTATGGGAAACTTATTGCTCTGTTAGGTATTGATATGAATTCAAATATATTACCATTTCTTTAAACATTTCTTTTAAGATCCAAATATAGCAGTAATTGATTCTATGATTGCAGTAATTGCACTCAATGTATAAGTTACCGTAATGTTCTGCATATTACCCACACCAACCGGAATAATCGGGTAGTAATCGTGCTTATTTTGTTACATCACATAACCCATACTTAATAATTACCATTTGACATTTATATTAGATAACCCACTGGTAATCGGTGGAACTTATTTGTATAGCAATTTTTAATTAATTTAGAGTAATATACAGTATTTTAAAATAGATGTTTTAATTGATTGCATAATTGAATTTTTAGTAAGAAAATTATTAATTATTTATATAAAAGCAATTAATTCATTTGTAAATTCTCATTTACAACACACCCATGGTTTGGCCATGGTCAATTAACTTTTTTATTATCCAAAAATAGATCATTTCATAAATCAATTCTTCTTTAAGAATAATGAGAAAATTGTTAAACAAAGTCTAATATTACCAAAAGTTTTTGAATGACTTTAAGAAATAACAGATCATTCACTTAAGACAAACCATTGTTTAAATTGTTTTCTTATGTTTATAAAGTTTTCATAAACATAAAAGTAGTTTTGGGAACTAATGTCGAACTACTTTATCGTTCATTTCATAGACTGTGAAGTATACTGTATATCATTTAATATTTATCGCCGATTCTGTGTTTTAACATTAAATAAATGAATACCATTTTTGAACATTTTATTAAGAGCTAAATAATTGTCAGTAAACTCTCGGATAAAGATATGTGTTGAGACAAATTTATTAGTTTTCTAAACAATTGAAAATAAATCTTTAAATTTAAAGAATTAAAATAAATAATCAATGAATTCAATCAAATTAATATACAATTTGCTGAGCAATGAAAACAAAGCTAATATAATTAAATTGGCTGCAAATGCAAGAGTTGATCCGTCGGTTGAATGGGAACAAAGTGTTTGACGACAGAGTGGGCGACGACATGATTGCGACAAATGGACCGAAAGTTGAACGACTTGTCGCATATCTGACATACGAAGGGTCTGTCTCTTCCCAAATGGTGTTCAATGTGTCGCCGAAACTGCATCTCATCCTTCACTCCATTCATACGATCGCATAATCGGCACGAATAGAGTCTTTCAATTCGGTAACCATTGCTGCTATTCATCGGAGTCTTTGCGGAAGCGATGCCAGTATTACTGGCCCTTACTTTCCGACCGCTTTCGTCGGCATTCAATTGATTGCAATGACTAGACGTTTGAGTTAATTGACTGCCAAACGGTTTGCTCATCACTTGTGGCCAATAGTTAACGCCAACGAATCCAGAGCTCAGATATGGACACAAGTGGTTGTGCGCGAAGTGCGGACACCACCACAAGTGCGGCAAGTCTTGCATCGATTGGCAATCGACGGGCGCTTTGCTCTCTAAGAATCAAATATATAATGAAAATAACCAAAAATGAAAACCATTTTTCTAATCAACCTTCAGGTGTTTGGTTTGGCCGACAATTGGCACTCAAATAATTAGTGTCCACTAAATATGTCTCCTTATCGCTAGTCTTTTCGTCCATTTCAGTCATTTTGAAAACTTTTTTTAAAAGAAAATGAAATGATTTGTAAATTTGATGCAAAAATCTATGGAAACTAATTCTAACCGTAATATTGTTTCTCAGATACAGTTCAACAATACTTTTGTCACGAATCGCGCGAATCATTAAAATTGAACACTAAATGACAGCTTTTTATTTAGGAAACTGCTATACATTTCGCAGTTTGTGTCTCATTAACAATCAATTTGAATATTACTGTAATTTGTCTGTAAATTTAGTATATGTTTTGTATTGGTTTGGTTTTTCACATTAAATTTTAATATTTTTCATTAAATTGCATTCATTTCATACAAACTCATGTAAAAATGATTGACTCGCGTAAAAATTATTTGCTCCTAAGTTCCTAGCAATTGAATTCTAGTGTATTCATTAAAAATTATTATTACAAAAATGGCCATCATATAAGACTAATTTAATTGGATTTTAAAAAGTACCAAGCATAAATTTTCACAAATAAAAAAATCTTTTTTTACAATTCATTAAGCAATAGAAAAAATGCAAATCATTTAAACGTAATTTATGTACAATTACTAAACTAGTGTTGTCTGGACTTTACAATCAACTAATTGTACTTTAATTTAGTACTAATTTGAAAGATAATTACAAAGACTCACAAAATATATTTATTATAAAGAATGGGAAACACTTTAAATATAATTAATTATCGCATATAAAAGCCATTGAATGAAACGCTAAACTCGTTGTAAACACTACTAAAAGTTTACATAACATATCGTTATGTCATAAAAGACATGTCAGTATTGATTGAATGCAAACGTTTCACAAAATCTGAGGCAAAAGCCGTAACACTAATAATCAGCTGTTGTTTTGAGTCTTCACTTCACATTCAATCGCTGTTTTGAAAACACATTTAATGTTTGACTCAATTAAGGGACGAATGGATGGAGTGATCGGCGAATGAGTGGTCAATACATTGAATGCATTGAATCTAATGATGATTTCGTGGCTCTTATTGAACGCCAATTATCTGTGCATTAAATTCAAGACGCGATTCATTTGTGAATGAAATGCAAAACCAGTTTTAGACTCAATAATCAATTGTTTTATTATTATAAGTAATTTGTAATACAATTAGCGGACAAATTGGCGTATAATTGGTCTCATTTAGTGATGTCTTTAAGAGTGAAAATGTTGTCCATTTTGGATGTGGTGTTAAGAGTTCCTCCGCTCTTCATAATGGACTCAATTCTGATCCACTGTTTGTCTTCAATTCAACCCATTTTTCATAATAACAATCATAACAACAATCATATGATTACTACTATTAATACCATTAATGACAACAAATTGAATAGTAATATAATTGCCGACAATATATTGAAACTCAACAGTAATATCATGAATACAAACGCTTCCGATTGGAACCGATTGATGACTTCCATTAACGCATCCAAACTCGACGCCACCGACGATGAGGAGGACGTACTGGCCATCAGTCTTAGCACATCATCTATTGTTTGGGTCACACTATATCTTCAGGGTATGAATCCAGTGATCAATGGGTGTCGAGAATGTATATTAACTGTTAATGTCTTCGCCTGTGTTTAGCGTTTGTGATGGCGTTTTCACTCTTCCTGCTCTCGACCCGACACTTGTTGTCAATCTATGTCTGGTTGGCATCGATTGGAGTCATCCTCTGGTCCTACATCTCTAACGAAGAATATAATAAATACGTGTTTAGTATAAGACACTCAACGCTTGCCTTTGAGATCATTTCATTTAACTTCAGCGCAATCTTTAGATTTGTCGCCAATTATTTGTTTCAAGTAATCATTAATGCATTTGTCAATCAATTTATATGTATTATAAATGTATTCAATCTTTTTTATAAAAGGTTTTTCTCGCCATTTGTTTTTGTTTTGCGAGCAAAACGTCTCAGAATGTGTTGCCGAAGAGATTAGTGGGCATTACATTCATCGCTCCAAACATTATATCATTGATTCCAGCGATTCCTTCAGTTATTCTGGCCGTCGCTCCCGTTATTTCGGCCGCAATTGCTTTACTTTATATTATTTTAAATTTAGTGACAAATATTAGACAAATATTTATAACAATTTATTCGGAGATCCAATGGTCGCGAACTATAGTACGAAACTATGGTCTCTACACTTTGCTGGAGAGTCAATGGATTAGATTACATGTGCCACAGGTTTGCCTACGATTTGCGCGTAAACCACGAATTTAATGACATGTTTGAATTTGCAGGTTTTGCGAGTGTTTTGGTTGACCCGTTTGACAGAACAGGCAGTCTTCCTGATCGCCGACTCCACTCACAAGGAATACATGTCGACCGGAATAATAGGTCTCACATTCGAGAGTCGCATCTTCTGGTCAAATGTTAAGCAACTTATGGTCAGAGGCTGTGAAACAATTGTCGCCGTTCTCGGCATGACTTCCGTATTGTCTGGAGTTTCGCATCAAATCGGATGTCTTATGCAATCGTTTCTTTTGGTTGAAGACCCCGAAGACCGCTCTATTGGTACCGTTTCTGCCATTCTGTTCTTCATATTAGCCCTTCAGACAGGGCTGACGGGTTTGGAGCCCGAGAAACGCTTTTTACGTCTTTATCGCAATCTATGTCTCCTTTTCACCGCAATTCTTCATTTTATACACAATATGGTCAGCCCTTTGCTCTTCTCGTTGAGTGCGTCCAGAAATATGTCGATCAATAGACACGGGAGAGCACTCATTGTCTGCGCCTTTTTGATCGCATTTCCAATGTATTTCCTGATATATCTGTGGACACATCACGCGGTCTCCACTTGGCTTTTAGCCGTTTCGGCCTTCAGTATTGAAGTCGTTATTAAAGTGAGTACTTTTGGCAAACCATTGATTGATTTTATTGTGACAATTGTCTTATATTTCAGGTCATAATATCCCTATTAATTTACGGACTCTTTATGATCGATGCCTTCCGGACCTCAATGTGGGAACAATTAGATGATTACGTTTATTATATCCGTTCGACTGGAAACTCAATTGAGTTTATTTTTGGTATATTTCTCTTTTTCAACGGCGCGTGGATTTTGCTCTTCGAATCGGGAGGTACTATACGGGCGCTAATGATGTGTATTCACGCCTATTTCAATATATGGCTTCAGGCAAAGGCCGGTATGTGTTTCACCACTCTTTCAATACAAGCAATGAATACTGATTCATACCATTTAAACCACAGGTTGGAAGACATTCATGAAGAGACGACACGCGGTCTACAAAATCAATTCACTGCCCGAAGCATCTGAAGAGCAGTTGCGTAACTTTGACGACGTCTGTGCGATCTGTTATCAGGAGTTAACCACTGCTCGCATAACGAAATGCAATCACTATTTCCATGGCGTATGTCTTCGCAAATGGCTTTACGTTCAAGACATGTGTCCGCTCTGTCACGAGACCCTCTATAATATCAACGACACTAACGATCCGAACGATTCCACGAACGATAATATTATGAATAATATGGACGGAGTGGGAGGACAGGCGGGTCAGGCCGGACACGATCACAACGATTAAGTCCAAAAGTGATAATATAATTGGATTTAACTATATTTTAAATTTAAATAATTTTTAAAGTTTGTAATTATTTATCTTTATTTGGATTTATTCTGCCGTCAAATAAAATAATTTATCATTTATTGGATATAAATATCAAATTTATTGTAAATCATATGATACCGAAAAAATCAAATAATGCTTTTATGTATTTGAATAAGTTTTTTAATAATTTAAGTGTATTTTGGTTTTGTATTAATACATTGTATTTGTATTTAAAGCTCTGTTTAGTCTATATTTTGTTGAAATATTAAATCTAAAAATAAAATTTAATTATAAGAAGATTGCAATTCTTTATCACAAACTCAGACAACAGTCGACAATCACTCACTTCAAGACATGTTTTCGAGACATTTTTATTAAATTTTATGACAATTTATACCGAAATACAATTTATAACAAGATTTTATAATTATTTTTAAGTATAAAGTTTGATTAAAAATCTAAAAACTAGTGCACAAACTAATAGCAAAAAAGTCGCTCCGATGCCGGGAATCGAACCCGGGCCTTCTGGGTGAAAGCCAGATATCCTAGCCACTAGACCACATCGGATTGGATGAGAGACATACACTAATACACATACAAAGCAATGCAAACCATATGTTATGCCATTTAATTGTCGATACAATTAATGATTGTTTCAAACAGTTATTTGAGTGATATTTCTGTTAAATAACGCGATATTTAGTCAATTAAATGCAGATTCAATGAAATGGACTCAAAATCAATGCTTTTGTCGATTAAATGAATGCAAACGTAATTCAGACGTAATTTCTGTAATGAAAGACAAAAAGCAATCAATAAATGAATGCGTTTTCAAAACACTTTGAATTGAATTTTGATTGAAAAATACTAATTGTATTGAAAGACACGAAACAGTCGTCCAAATGAGTGTCAATTCGCCGTCAAATCTAAGTATTGTTTTCATTGACCACTTCTTCTCATCACTTATATCTAATCCATTGAATTGAATGCCAATGTCTTCGCGCAGAGAGTCGTCTTCGAGTGGTTCCGATCGACGAGTGGTCGACGCGAGAGAAGTTATGTCTGGCGTCGAGTGTACTCAAGAGCGGCGATCAGAACTGGTCTTACATTGACATCAATGATCTCTTCGTCGCTCTGTTTCGCTAACCATTTGTTTTTGCATTCCTCAGGAGTTCAGTGAGTCGTCCGCTGAAGTCCTTCTGCGAACCCAACCGTCCGTCCGATTGGTTTCACCAGAAATACTGTGCGATTCAATACCACGACTTACTCGAGAAGATTGAGACCGAAACGCCTAAGTATGACATCACCGACACTGCCATCACTAACACTGCCATTAGATGTCTCACTCTTGTTGTCTGTCTCTCTGTTTTAGGCGAAAACGCAGCGAAAGAGGCGAAGAAACGCCGCAAACAATAATCGTTAGGAATTTAACGAAACAACGGATCGAAGAGTTGAGAAATAAGACACAAATGGAAAGAGAGATGATTATGAAAGTGAAACACGATTTGCAGGCCTTAAGAGACAAACAGATGAGCGATAAGAGAATCCAAGAGCTCTGTCTCGAGATTAAGGACAAGGAGTTGAAAGACAAGGAAAGAGAAGTCGAGCACAAGAAGTGGTTGGAGGAGAGGAATGTGAAGATCTCGCAAATGACCAGAAAAGGCACGTTTCCCACACGACCGAAGCCGTCGGCGCTGACAACGCCGGCCACCACTGCGACCACCGCTTCCAACACAACGGTCACCGAAACGGCGGCTAAATCTCCACTCAATGAACCGCTCAAAGTGGAGGTCGAAAGCGATGGAAACGCCACTCAAACGGTTGCACAACAACCGATCGTTGAGAAGTCAGCGCCGGTCACACCCTCTCCTTCAACGTCACCACTGCTCACGTCTTTACTCCAGAGTCCGACGCCTTCCACTCCAACCCTTTTGTCGCCAACAAAGAGTGGTTTATCTGTCAATCCGTTTGCCCGACAAAAAAGTCCAATGACTCCCGTCTCAAGACGTCCGTCAATACATTTGAATGAAAAGACCACAGAATCGCCGCTTAAGATCTCAGACAAGACTGAATCCACTGTCAGTAACACGAATGCCGTCAAACCTGAAGTGAGGACCGAAACGAGTGGACAGAACGACCCGAAACCTGCCGTTGAATCTAAACTCTCGAAACTTCTGGAATCGCCGACTCTTTCCAAACCAAAAACTACGGCAATATCTGAGGCGAAAGCAGTGGAAGCGAAGACACCATTGATTTCTGCGAATAAGGAATCGAAACAAACGACTGAAAAATCGGACCAAATAAGCACTCCATTGACCACTTCTGATGACAAACGGGTCACGACTTCGAAGAATAAGACTAAAGAATCGAAGAAAGAGCCCGAAAAAGGAGAGGAAGTTCACAAAAAGGACGAATCAAATGAGAGATCGCTTAGAAGTAAAGACAAAACGGATGAATCGAAAGCCGATAAGGTTTCGACTGAGAAAACTGAAGAGAAAGAAACCGACAAATCTGTTGACAAGAAAACAGAAGAGTCGGTTGAAAAGACACCGATTAAAGAGGAAGTGATGGACACGACATCTGCCGAAGAATCGCAACCAAAAGAAAGCGATAAACCTGTTGTCAAAGAAGAGCTAACGGATGCCACTTCGAGTTCAGCGGCGGACGAATCCAATCAGAAGACGCCATTGACTCGAACTAATAAGAGGACACGAAAATCGGTGACTCCACTGACTATTACGCCAACAATTACTCGAAGATCGAGACGAGTGGCCCTTAAAGACACGAAATCAACTAATGATGACTCGACAGAAGTGAGCGATCAGTCGGCGGCCAATACTCCGCAAGCGGTTAAAAAGCGTGGATCTGTTGACGACACCACTGAGACATCGATGAGCGAAGAGTCGATGGACGCGAAGATACCGGCGACCGCTTCTCCCAACGAAACGGTTCCCAATAGTCCGGCTTCGGTCAAAACGGAAGACTTGAAGGATAACGACTCTAAAGAATATAAGACTTGGAAGAAGGCAGTGATGGTTAACTGGAGACTTATTAGCGCACATAAAAACGCGTCACTTTTCTCACACCCGGTCACCGAAACTGAGGCCAAGGGTTACGAAGAGATAGTCCGGCGACCCATCGATCTGAACAGCATTAAGAAGCGCGTCGAGACCGGAGTCATCCGCACAACCATTGAATACCAAAGAGATATTCTACTGATGTTTCAAAACGCCATTATGTTTAACAACGCCAACCATGACGTCCACAAAATGGCTGTCGACATGCAAAAGGACACAATCGCCAGTATTGAGGACTTCATCGCTAACATCGATACCCGAAAGCAAGACAATCAGAGCTCAACCAACGAATCCAAACTACGAGCGCGCGATCGCAGAAGCAATGCGCCCGCCATACCATCGCCAGCAGTGGTTCCTGACGTGAGTCCCTCTTCAACAACACATGTATCAGTTATTAACCAATACTTTCTTTTACTCTACATATGCTATAGAATAATGAGATGTCTATTCGCCGCAAAAGCAGAGGCGCCTCCACTGACACCGATTCCAACGCATCGAGTCTTACGAAATCTGTGACCAAAAAGAAGAAGACATAAAACAAATGACTTGAAGTGTTGTCTTCACACCAATTGATTCCGTGAATCAAAAGTGTTTTTCAATACTACAGTCTTAACTATATTTTGATTTAAACTTCACATTCAATGACTTCATAAATAAAAAGTATTTTTTTAAAATAACAACATTTATTAATTCTCAGCATCTCTTAAAATAAATGGTTTTCTATTAGAAAATTTCTAAACATATCATTGCTTTCGGTATTTATAGTGATTTTACAATTTATTACAACGAATTGATTGTTTAAAACATAACCGGTTGAGAGTGAGAAGGGGTTAACCATTGGTTGATTGGTATCACAATTGAGAGGCCTGTTTGGTGTCCTCTAAAGTGGTCCTCAATTGTTGCAAATGTTTGAAACAGTTTTGAATCAATGGCTTAATTGAGTGCAACTCAGCTTTGGTCGCATTGGGAAGAGAAACGGACGTCAGATCGGCGTTGTCTTTCGCCTCTAAGAACAGCTTATGGGCCGACACGCGAAGAATGGCTTCGCGGCGTTCAATCAGTTCCGAACAGTTGACCGAAGAGTTAAACTCTTGCTCCAGAAGTTTGAGTACTTCTCGCCAGTGATAGTCGGGCATTGGGATCAGATGGTCATCAATGAGCTGCTGTTGTTCGCATAGTTGTGGCAGCGTTTGGATCCAATCGGGGACTCTTATGGTGCACTTGTTCTGGCGGTGAAGATTGAATGCCAGCCAAAGAGGCACTTCCACCGGAATGGACGGCTGGAATGGCCCGAAGTCGCCGCTGATTAGGTTCAGCTGTTTGTTGTATTTGAATAGCGGTATGATTTCGATCAGTGACTCTTCGGCTAAGAACTCGCAGAAATCCATCACTTGATCCGCACGTGTGGTCAGCGATCGCTACCAAAACAGCTGTCAATCGATTTCAATGCAAATCACAATCAAATTCAGCACTCATTCAATGTTTCGCTTCATTCACTGATTCGCGCTTTTGTTAACAAATGTCTGTTCAGTCGTTGTGTTATTATTTTCTACCAATTTATCGTTCCCTTCATTTACATTATGTTACAAAACATAGCATAACATAACACATATCCCTTACATTGAGTGCCCCCTCCCTCTCCCCTCTCCCAGTGACCGACTGTAACGTTATATATGACTGCATCGACACTATAACCAAAGCATTGATAGTTTGTCAACAAAACAATTAATTTTAAAGAGAAATATTGAATGAGTTTATAATCACATAAATCACCATAAATTGGTCCCAAATGTCAATCGCAAGCGATTCCCAAAGCAATGGCGTGCAGTCATCGCCGGCCAAGACGTCGTGGTTTGAGTTCATACTTCAGCCCAAACTTCTCGATTCGCATCTGTCCTCCAAATCAAGTCCACAACCCTTTGAATTGATTACACAATTGTTGACAAATGCGTTAACCATTTCCGCCCAATCCTTGTCCTCGTTGTCCAACACCACCAACGGTTCCATCGGAACCGATGACACTAATGGCATGTCGTCGGCGGCGGCGCTACAGCAACAGACTGTGGACACCATTAAGAAGGCGATGGACAACAAGAAGAGCACTGCTATCAGACACTTGTCGTTCAAAATAATGGCTCATTTGAATTGGGATTTGAGTCAATTGGAGACTAATCTCCCGCCGACTCAACAGGACTTCCTCCTCAATGAACTGAACCTCTATTGCGAACAATACAAGAGTCCCACCGGTTGTAAACTCTTCGCTTGTATTCTCTATTATCGATGGATTTTGCGATATATTATTAGATCTAATTATCCGACAAAAGCGCCGAAAGGACCGCCCATTCCTCTCACTCTTCAGCAACAAATAGATCCCTGTTTTATGTCTAACGAAGCGTTGGATCTGTTGATGAAGAAACTGTTGGATCAGCACATGATCGCTGTCACAGATCTTGAGAAAGTTATTGTCGAGAAGCAAAAGGGCAGTAAAGTTGAGATAATAATGCCATCATTTGAGTGCTTCACTAATACATCGGACAACGATATTGTCTGCGATTGGAGTAAATGCACCAAAATTGCCACCAATGATGTGATGGACGACATTCTCTATGACATCGGCCGCTGGTTCTTCTTCCGTGAAGACTATCACAAATCCAACACTTATTTGGAGTCCATTTCAATGAATAAAAGAAATTTATACAACAATTTGAACGAATTTCTGACGTCTACTCGAGAGTTGATTGCAGACAATAAGCGGCCGATCGTTGACATCGAGATCATTGATTTCGACAAACAGGCGAAAGACACGATCGATGAGATCATGAGTGGACACACGTCTGACATTTCAATCTTTGAGAATTTGGTCGATTTGCACGAAATCCGCAAAATGATTGAAAATGCATTCAACAACTGTTCGGACAAAATGCAAAAGAATCGACTCTTAAGACTAACCAAATACCTGTCCAACAGAATCAAAGGTCTGGACGAAGAGCTGAACAAATCAATAGTTGTTAAATCAGATGATAAGGTGACGGAAATAGTGATCGATTCGAGCGATTCCGAGATGTATGAAGAGGGAGAGATTGATGGCGACGACGAGCCCGTCATCAAAGACCCGGAAGTGCTTTTGCTGGAGGCGACGGATCCCGAACTCATCCAAAGTCTTGTTTGTAAGACACAAAAGCATCCGTTGATGATAAACAACAGATGGAGTCTTCCGATGACACAAAGCAAACATTTGCAGAACTTGTCTCAAAGTCAATACAGCAAATGTCATCTGATTCTCGCCAAAGCCAACCAATTAAGAAGCGCTAATCTCTTTACCGAATCCCGAGTTCTGTATCTCTCACTGTTTGAAGACATTCAGCTCTCGTTACCGGAGTTAGCGGTCGCTATCAATTGGGAACTATTGAGAACTGATTTGGAGAAGCATTTGAATACCACTGATGTCGACGAACGGCAGATCAATAATTTGATGGGAAAATGCATACAAACTCTGCGACAAAAGGATCAAATGAATTGGGCGATGGAATGGCCAGAACTGACCGAAATCTGTTGTGTATTTCTCTTGGAATCATTCCCACAAAAACTTAAGGAGTTTTACAACACACCGATTCCCATCATTAAATTCTCTTCGGCTCTGAGTTGGTTAGCATTTGATCCCATTTCCAACCAAAATACAAACATTGCTAAAGATTTCTGGGAAATGATTATCAATTTGTTCGCCAATACCGGCAATAAGAAACCTCCGCCTCATCTCAATGTTCCCATTATATCGTTCGCCAACTCTTTCGTCAGTTTTGTGTCTCAATTTAAAGACACATCAATTATCGCTCTAATCATATCGTGTTTATCAAAGCTATTGAATTTAATTCGTGACAATTCATCGCAAGAGCTATCGATTGCGCCCCAATTTGCAGTCTTCTGGCCCTCATCTCTGAGCCAAGCGGTGACCGCAACTCTTGAAGCAAACAAATTGTTGGTTTCCTCGACTTTAAACAAACTTTTAGACGAGTTTCTCATTCAAAAGCCAAACGAAACAATTTTGTTGAAATGTAGGGCAGAGTTGTGTTTGTTTGACAGCTTATACGCGGATTCAATCAAATACTTTACACTCGTTTTGATGATTAAAACCCAATTCTTCACATGTTTTAGTCCTATGTATTCAGAAGAGGAGCCAATCATACAGCGAATGATTCAGTGCTGCGTTCGGCTCTCGTGTCACACACAGGCGGCTCTCTTGCATCAGATGAGTCGCGAACCCAATTACGCCCTCGCTTTCAAAGCCCTGTCCGAACGGAACTGCAATGACTCGTGCGATGACTTGTATGAGTGCATTTGGGACACAACTCTTCTCGAGTTTCTCATTAATCTCCACCAACGAAGAGGCGAAGCCGAGCGCAAAACCAAAGCCATTCAACTGGTCGGACAGTTAGAGCTTAACTCCAATAACAGCGAACTCGTGCTGAGAGAGGCCGCGGATGTGAGGAGAGGCCGACTCATGAGGATATTCGCCCGAACTTATCTCTAAACTCAATGTGTCGTCGCTTTCTGTCTCTAAATTATATATTTTATTCATTTTGTAAATTAATGTCATATTTTTCCAAATCAATCAAAACGTGATTTTTCATAAATTGTCTAAAAATAATTGTTTGTAAAAGAGCCTAATTTAAAGAATTTTTATAAATTATTACATCATTTATTACGAAATATTAATTAAAAACTGTTTTATTATTTATACATTTACACAATATTATACAATTCACGACAACCTCTGAGGGATACCTTTCCTTTGAGAACAGACTCGCGTTCATTGCATTCATTAATTGCCATTAAATATAGCTTTTCGGTCGATAATGGATGCCTATTATAGGAGATTGTGTTAAATGATAATACGGTACAGTATTTACTGACAAAATACATACCAGTGTCCAAACGTACAGCCGGTGTCGATAGTGGTGTCATAATAATGGCATTTATTGCTCAGTCTTAAGGAAGGAATGTATTCATAGATATCTACTTTTGAACAAACGTTTAACAAAACAATAATCCCTAAGAATCCAGAAGTCGGAGGATTTTTCGGTATCGAATTCATTGTCGATTTTTGGAGTAAATCCCAAGACTTCCAAATGAGCTGCGGATCTAATATACCGATCGTTTCATTTGGAAATGTGTCCACAAGTCGTTGATATGTTTGGAAGAATTTGCGGCTTTTATTAAACCATTGATTGCCATCGAATTGATAGTCAGAGGCGTCCCAAACCAGTTTCAAACCAATTCTATACATCATATCTGACATTACATTAAATTTTTCGTTCAACAAAATCTGTGAATTGAGTAAACGAATTGTGGTCTCAGAGCCGACATCTTCCTCGTAGGTCAGTGTCGGCGCGTTATTAAACCGCAACACAATGTCGTGGCTATCGATCTCTTCACCCAAAACAGAATCAACTAAAGAACCAGAACTCGAGACAATCGCACACTCTTTGGCACCAAATTTGGCACTTATTTGATTGGCGTTTATTATTTCAGATATTGTTTGGAAGCGATAGTCGCGAAAGGAATCGGAATTTTGGACTTTTGTAAGAATATTGGCTTTAATATCACACAAGGAATCGAGTGATGGCCGCAAAGAATTCATTTTGCCGTTGAATTTAACGCTATAATAATTATTGTACGACTTTTGAGAGGTTATATACTTTATGAGATCAGATTCAGATCGTCTTAATCTCGTTATTAAATGGTTGCGAAATAAATCCAATTCTTCGGCAGATTTATCATAAAATTTGTTTAATATATTATCATTAGAAGAGATATTGAATTTAAACGAAGACTTATTTTTGTCGGCAAAAGTCAAACCCTTTGAATGGGGTTTTTGCCAAAAGTTTGAAACTATTAAATAAATATAAATATAAATAATGATCACAATTATAATGACAAACAAACACAACGAATAGCCCAGGAATCGCATTATTAGCAAATTGTGGCAAATGTTAAGTGTTTTAATTATAATACGAGATAATTAATATGTTTTTATTAATTATAAATGAACATTAATTTTACTAATAGTGTTAATCACAATATAATTAGTAATTCTTGAGTCATATTCTGTGAAAAAAATTCTACAATTCTTATGATTTGGGCTCATATTGTGTTGAGTTTGAGCGCATCGTTTGAAAGTGCAATAACTCTACTCAACACTACTCTTCAAATGAATGCATATTTTGGTTACTAAATAATGCCATGAATACGACAATCATTTGTTTAATAAAATAGTTTTTATTGACAAATAAATTACATTTAGTTAATCATTACAACAATTTTCTAAATAATTTAGTTTTCATTTATATAACAGTAAAATTCAATACATTTTAAGACTATTCATAAAACGTGTTCCGACTCTTCATATATAGGTTTATGCTTTTGATAACACTTTTGGAGCAAATCTTCGCTAATATTTGTTGTATTGAAGGAATGAAAAGACAAATCATTGAAAATATTTTGCGGATTAAAACTATTTTCAACACTTGTTTCAATCAAAATGTGTTTAAAATCAATACATTTTGAAATATTGAATAAATAATTGAAGTCTTTTAATGCAATCCTTTGGGAGACAATTGTGTCCAACATTTTCTCAAAACTATTGCCAAATATAAGCATTTGATTCAATTGTCTTGTCGTCCAATTAGACCACAAGAGGTTATTGAACAGACATTTGTCGCAATGAGGCATAAAAAACATCACCATTTGATCCAATGGCGGATCGATTGGACGAATGCACTGTTCGTTCGCTTCAATCACTTTAAACTGAAGATTGTTTTCAAGAAATTTAATCTCATTTTCGGTGAAAATGGGATCAAAAATATAGACTTCAGACGTTTGGCGACAAAACCGTCGAAGAATCAGAAGAAGTGATAATTGATATAAAGAGTCAATACTGGAGAAGAAGTTTCCCAAACCATAGCAAATCATTTGCGATATTTTTGGCACAAATTGTGTCCCATTTTCACCGAATTTTCGGTCAAAACACGTACCGAAAGCCCGAAAAACAGAGTCCGAGAAATGGGAAGCATTTAAATGAGTAAAACATAAATCAATTTTACATTGAATTGCATTCAAATCCAAAACACTTTCGTTTGAAATGCTTTTCAATTCATTCAATAATTTCAATGAATTGTCACTTAATCTGTGTTTCCGTCGATTCCGTTGTCGTCGATGTCTTGTATTCGAGACACTAATGAAACCATCGTTTGTCTCAATTGTCTCGCAATTCAAAGACATTGTCTTTTCGTTGACAACAATTCAAACCAATTGTCGACAAAATAAAGTGATTTTGTTTTTTGGGCCAAAAATACATGTGATTTGTTGTCAGCACTGAATGTGAGTATCGTTTGTGTTGTTGTCATAGAAACCAGTGATTGACTCAAAGTTTGAAAACATTGTCACATCTTTGAGTCCATCGATGGCTACAATCGCTACCAGTTATCCCAAATCCATCCGAAGACTCGATGAAAGTGTGGTCTCGAGGATCAATGCCGGCGAAGTCATCCACAGACCCGTCAATGTTGTCAAAGAGTTGATTGAAAACAGGTTTGTGACCGCATTTGTGTCAACTCAAGACATGTCACCAATTGATTCATTCATTGATAGTCTGGACGCCAACTCCACTACCGTTGAGATCACTGTCAAAGACGGAGGAATGAAATCGATTGTCATTCAAGACAATGGATGCGGTATTCGAGTAATGAATTCAATTCTCGCGTTGTTTTTACGGACAAACGTTTGGATCAATTGTTTTGATTTGTTGTACAGAAAGAAGACTTAGAGATAGTGTGCGAGAGATTCACGACATCTAAACTCCGAGAATTTGATGACTTACTGGAGATCCAGACCTACGGTTTCAGAGGCGAGGCGTTGGCGGCCATCAGTCATATCTCGTTCGTGACGATCGTAACGAAGACATCGGAACAGATGTGTGGATATAAACTACAATTCACTGACGGAAAGCCCAAAGGAAAAGCCGTTCCGATGGCCGCAAACAACGGAACCGTTATTACTGTCGATAATCTCTTTCATAATTTATCGCAGAGAAAGAATGCATTGAATTCCTATTCACACGAATATAATCTGATTCTCGATGTGATCACTAAATATGCGATCAATAACTCAAACAAATCCTCGTTTTCTCTCAAAAAGTTTGGCGAAAATTATGATTTGAATACTAATATTGAAAACACAATCATTGAAAACATTAGAGGACTTTATGGACCAAACATTGCCAACAATTTGGTTGAGCTCTCATTCGAGGACTTAAATGGTCTCAAGTTTTCAATGTCTGGCTTTAGTTCCAATCAAACTCTTCATCAAAAGAATTTCGTATTTATTTTATTCATTAACAACCGATTGGTTGAATGTCCGGCGCTTAAGAAAGCGGTTGATTTGGTTTACAGTAATTATCTGCTTAAGAGTTGTCATCCATTTGTGTATTTGAACGTTAAGATTGACTCGAAGAACATCGACGTCAACGTTCATCCGACCAAAAATGAAGTCCATTTCCTTCACGAACAAGAGATCTGTGAAAAAGTGGTTCAAATCGTTGAAAGCAAACTCACAGATGGAAGAGAAACGCGTCGTTTGAATACAGAGTCGAGTCCTCTTATAAATACAGTATTTAATCAGATCTCCAACCCATCGATTGGTGAGAGTCCTAATCAAAAGTCATCGCAAAGCAGTTCCACATCGAAAGAAGGCAACCAAACAAATAGTGATAGGAGTTATAAAGCGCCGAACAAAGAGACCACTCCTCGGAGACCAGACAAACAAATCCGAACCGATAGTAAAGACCGCAAAATTTATGAATACTTATTGAACGCTAAGAAAGTGGACAAAAACAGGAGAGATATGAATTTGACGAGTGTTTCAGCTCTGAGACGAACTGTCGCTGAAGAGAGCGATAATCGTCTTCAAGACATTATCTGTAAGTCAACATACGTTGGATGCGCTGACGAGACGTTTGTTTTGTTTCAATTTGAAACACAACTCCTATTAGTGAACGGATATAATCTGAATGTAGAGCTCTTTTATCAGCTCTTTCTCGTCGATTTCAGCAATTTTCAGAGAATTAAATTTTCCAAACCATTACTTATCGCGGATTTAGTGAACGTTTATTTAGAGGAAGACGTCGGCAAAACTCAACCGTCTGCCGACTGTCAGAGCAGTCAAACATTGAGCGCAACAGAAATCGAGACAATTCTTATGTCAAAGAGTGAAATGCTTTCCGATTACTTCTCAATAGATATCAGTTCTGAAAAGGAATTGAAAAGTTTGCCCATAATATTGGATGGATTTGTTCCCAATTATGCATTTCTCCCACAACTGGTCTATTCTTTGGCCAAAGATGTCAATTGGAATCAAGAGAAGGAATGCTTCGAAAGTATTGGCAAAGTTTTGGCCAATTTCTACGCAAAGCCTCCCAACAAATTCACTAATAATTTAGAGCATCAAAAGTGGGCCAAAACTGTTGAAACAGTAATTTATCCCAAATATAAACAACTTCTTTGTCCGCCAAAAAGACTGTCGAATAATTCGTCATTTTTTGTGACAACAAATTTGTCGGATTTATATAAAGTGTTTGAAAGGTGTTAAGCGTTTAAAAATTCAATTCATTTATTAAATAGTTCTAAATATTAAGTCTATTAAATCTGTAATAAAATCTCTAACAAACAATTATTGTTAAAACTTTGACAAATAAAAAATTAATTTTTTGACACATTATTATACAAATCGTCGGCATATTTGACAATCAGATGAATGTCTTCGCAATGTTTCTGCAAAATATTTGGAATCACTTCATATCCATAGAGAGCGCCGGCAATACTACAGGCCATTGAGCCGATAGTATCGGTGTCTCCGCCCAAAGATAACGAGAAATATAATGTTCTCACAAAAGGGTTCGTTGTGTCGAAGTTTTCAATCGCTTTCTGAGATCTTAACACCGAATATATGGCCGACGGAACAGATTTGAGTGCAGAGACATCGTTGCCCAGAATGTGAGCCACCATTTCTCCAGACAATTCACTCACTTTGGATTCGCTTTCAAATATTGTCTTAATTTTGTTGAGTTTATCGGTAAACGGGGTTTCGGACACATCATTAAAGGTTGCTTTCGAACCAATGCTAACCTTTTCATAGCTCTTGGTTTCAATGGTTTGCATTTTTTCGATCAAACGATTCAAATATGAATTCACGTCAAAAGAGTGATCGGTTTGTGAGGGGATTGTATTGAGCGCTTCGCGAACGGCCAGACACTGAAGAATAGCGCCGTTATATCCGTTACGGTTAGAGTGTGTAATCTTCGCGCAATTGCCGCTCAATTCAATCAACTCATCGATCGGCAAATGGTAGCCGAAGAGTGCGACCGGATTCGTCCTCATAGCGCCTCCGTTGCCATAACTGCCGGAACCGTTGAATTGTAAGCGCGCGGGAGAGTACGGCTCCTCGAAGTGGGTGTGATTGAGGGCCGCGAAGACGTCGATCACATTTCCGCCGTAACCTCTCTTCGGGTCTCTTATGTACTCCAATGTAAACCTTTTGGCCATATCTTTGGCGTCAAATTGTTTCAATTGAATGAATGACTCGCAAATGGATTTAGTCATTGCCGTGTCGTCCGTATAGGGAAACGTCTGAACCGCTATTTAATGGACAATAATTATCATTAAAATGACAAATCAATGGATGGTTCGCTTGTTTTTGGTCTTACTTTTGGGCGATTCCTCCAACTGTTTGGTCACAAAGTTGTATAAAACTGAACGACTGATAGGATTGTCGCCCTCGAAGGGTGAGCCGAGACAATCACCAATGAGTCCGCCCACAAGACATCCCCGAAACCGATTCACCAGATTTGCCACCGAAGACGACATCTTTGTTAAAACATTGACACAAAGAGCCGACAAATTAAATAACACTTTATATGAAAATTTGCGTCAATTATAGAAAGCAGTGATTATTTCAATGAAAGTTTGTTTTGAGAGAAAATTGTAAACAAAAACATGTTTTCAATGCAATCCAAACACAAGTATTGCTGCAAAAAATCAGATGTTTTTTGACATAAAGTTATGGACTATTTGTGTAAACGACAGACAAATGTCTAATTAATAGTGAAATGAAATTTAAATTTCTTAAATATAAGTCATTTTATGTGACCATTGGATCCGTTTCATTGATCTCCAGGTCTTTTCCCACTCTCGACATCTATTTTGGGTGTCTTTTTGTTACTTAATATTAACAGACATGTGTTTGCATTCAGTTTTGGTTATTTTGGTCAGTCATTGGTCTCGAAGTACAACCTCTTCGGCAAGAATGAGATCAAATCGACCACTTTTGATGAGAACAAGGATTACATACATCTGAACGAAGAGCTTAATAGCAGTTATTCAGAGGACACGGTCTCCGAGTCGAGTACAACTCACTTACAATTATTGGGTTTAATTCAGTCCACAAATCGCGACAATCGGGTCTCAGAGACGGCCATCTCTGCCATCGCTAACACTATACTCAATGGTTTACACATTTTTAAAATTACCATTTTGTAAGACAAATGAAATCTAAAGTTAGCGTAAATTTACATTTTGCCAGACTTTCAGTACCGAGAAATTGCTCAAAGTTGTGATTTCAAGACAGGCCTCCGATTGGCCCGAACTCCCGGTGTTTCGCCCAAATTGTTTTTGCCTCCTCTGCGGACTCATTACTTTACAACCGCCGCAAACCCTAAACCTGTCTATGATTTTAATAAATTTGTGCTAAATATGTTGAATAAGGCCTACAATTGTGGTGCCGATCAAACCGAGGACTTCGACTGTACGCGACTTTTCACTCAATTGTCGATCGAGAAGCTGGAGATGGGAAGACATTCCCAACAAATAGAAGAACCCTTTGATTTCACTGATATTCAAACTTTTAAACCACTGTCGAGTGACGAGAGTCCGAAAGTGAATTCGCTTTTCTTACAGGCGATCTCACAGAATATTCTGTGCGACAAAACTCACTGCAAAGCACTGGTAGACAACGGATTGTTTCTGGTTTTGCATTACTTGCGAAACAACTACTCCAATGTTGAGCTCCACGACTGGATCGCACAGACATTGGCTAATCTGAGCGTTTATAAGGATTTTCACTCACATTTCTGGTCCACCAATTGGTTCGGCGTTTTGGTTGAATGGCTTCAATCAGATCGACTCGAATGGAGTCTCTCTGCGGCTAAAATTCTCTATAATTTGAACGAAGACTCCAATGAAAACTTATTGCCTGATTCTATATACGTATTGAATCCCATATTTCACGACAAAATCGACAAAAACGTTGATATAGTTTTGGTTCACGGATTACTCGGCGGTACTTTCAAGACATGGCGTCAAAATGACACCGAAAAGGATGTCAAGTATTATAATTGAAAACATGTCACACATTATTCTTATTAAATAATATGTGGATCTATTTCAGAGGTGCGACCAACTCTTACACGCGGTGTTGGCCACAGAAATGGTTGGCGAGTGATATCCCAGACATTCGGTTATTAGCTGTCAATTATCAAACATATATAAGTAATTGGAGTATTGAATGTCAGGACAACAAAAGTATCTTTACATTGAAACAAAGAAGCGCTCAATTATTGAAAGATTTGGCTTCGAGTCGAGTCGGAGAAAAGCCCATCATTTGGATCTCGCATTCTATGGGAGGACTTATTGTCAAACAAATGCTCGTCGATATCAACGAAAGCAATGATCCAAAGCTTAAGTCTATATTGAATCAAACGAAAGGAATAGTCTTCTATTCGGTTCCACATAAGGGCACAGAAATGGCTGTTTGGACGCCATATCTCCAAAAGATTATATCTCCCTCTTCTGAACTCTTGGAACTCCGAAAAGGCATCAATTGATGAATTAATTGTCAATCATTTGTTAAGTTTTACAAATTCAATGTAATTGTCTCTTAGGTTCAAAATCATTGCATTCATTACACAATCAATTCGTGCAAATAATGGATGACAAAGGAATCGCTTGTCTTAGTTTTGCCGAAACCCTTAAGAGTACGCTTAAGCCTTTTTATCCCATCAAATACACCCGACTATTAGGTACGCAATCAATATGTTTACAGTACTTAACAATTAATATTGAACTCATTTCAAGTGCCGGAAGAGTCTGCAAACCCAGACATCGGTCACTTCCATCGCTTGGAATGCAATCATTTCAATACTTGTAAACCAAAACAGAAGACATCCGACTCTTACAGCAAAGTACTTGAATTCATCCGAAAAATCATTGAAATCAATAATACACTCGACGACCGAAAAGGAGATAAAATATCCATTTTATTGTCTTCAGTATTCACCTAAACATTGATATATATTTTTGTCACTATTTTTCACAAAACTTTTCATAAAACCTAACATTTCTAACGATTACTGTTATACTTGTGATAAACAAATCATTAAAAATATTGTTAAAATAAATGTTGAGCGGAATGTTAACAGCAGACAAATATTCGATGAAATAGTATTGCAATAATGTTTCAGTTATTGTGAGGAATCGACCACAAGCTCTGTCTTTCCATCATTAGTGATCAGTTCGACTAAAGCCCCAGTTTTGGGTCTATTCTCGTTATTGTCGGCCCATTTCCACATCAATTCGGCCGCGAATTCCAATGGAGTCCACTTAGAGGTGTCTCCGCCCGGCATAAACTTGCGGTTCATAGGAGTGTCCAAAGTTATGGGAAGTATTGCCAATACGGTTGAACTCTTCGGGAGTCCACCAGTTTTATCGCTCAGACTTTTCACTAAATGATGAACCGATGCTTTCGCTAATCCGTATCCAATCATTCCTGAAAGCAATCCATTTATTAAAGTTAATTAAAATATATACATTATTAAAATAAATGTATATTTTCATCAAACCTGGAGTGGAATCGAGAGCTGCCTTCGCGCCGGTCAGAGCCAAGAGTCCGCCTTCGGACAAGAAATTGGCGGCCAATTTGGCTGAGATTACAGAACTCCAGAGACTCTGTTTTATCATAAGATCCGTATTCTTAACAAAATCTATAGAAATAGTAATTCAAATGAAAAACTATTTTATATTTTCCAAAATCACGTTATTATCAAACCGGGAGAAGAGGCCGAACCTCCGGCCCAACCGCCGGCCACACAGACCACTGCATCCACTTTATTGCCGGCTAATACTTGAGAGACTCCGTCCACGACTTCCTTCTCCTGATTAATCCAGTCGTCAGTACTCTTAATGACCACATTCTCATTGGCCTCACTATTGGCCACTAAATCAACTGAAGTGACCCACTGTTCGCATAAATATGATAAATCACTCATTTGTGTCATTTCAACTAAATTAACAACTATTAGCAAAAATTGATTTATTTAAGCACTAAATAGAATATTAATTGATTGTAAATTAATTATTATTTTATAGTATAGAATATTAGAATTCATACTTCAAGTAAAATATTCACACAATATATAACAGAATTTGCAACAATCTTTACTAAATTGGAAATGTATTTAAAGGACCAAATGAAAACTGTTTTAATTAGTTTGATGTTAATATATTTCACCACATTAAAAGTATCTAGTTTAAAAGCATATGAAGATTTCACATTTTAATGAAAATTTAGCCCTAAACATTTTAAGCATAATAGACTATTATTAATAGTTTTTCAAGCAAGTATATAATATAAATAGGGATGAAAATTTCAGTGAAATTTGCATATGAACATTTCATTTAGGCTAAATAGGCTGTAGACAATTTAATTTAACAATTAAATTTTGAATTTCATGAATATTTACTGTATATTCTGTATATACAGGTGATTAATAGACTTTACCATTACAAAGTCGAATATCTCGAAAAGTATTAAATCTAAAAATTCATGAAATATCAAAATAGTCACAAACTGCGGGAGTTTTTGTTATGATATGACAATATTCTCGACTTTCTATTATAGAAGTAACAGTAATCTCAAACCAATTAAAATTTTAACATTTTTCCCATAGACATAATGTTAAATTCAAATTTATTCTTGAGCAAAATCCTGAAATATGTCTCAAGTTATTTTTGCTCCTGTTTAAGAATATGTAATCAAAATTTTTGTGCAGCATGTACTGTAGTTTTTAGTTAATTAATGATTTCCCAATATTTCAGATTTAAATGATTTCAAAATACACAACTTTTTCAAAAAATCTTCTAAAATACAAAAACTAATTATATTACAAGATTGTGATTTTAGATTCTTAAATAGCAGCACAAATAACTTTGTTTGTGATGAATGATGTTATTTATACAACTTTATTGTAATTATGATTACTATTAACAGTAAATTTCCAATCAAAAAATGTGGATAAAATGTTGTCATCAAATGAGCATAAGTCAGACTCTATAGGATTTTTGCGATCTTTCTTTTCAATATAAAATAGTTGGCATTTTTTGACATTACTAAAGCTGCTCAGAATATGTTTTTAAATATATTTATTGGTTAAGGATATATGTTTAGAACTTTGGGGGCAAACGAATTACATAATAAGGGTCATTTTAACAAAGTTTTATTTTACATATACTGTTAAACCTTGGATCTTAGACTTGGTCGGGACCGGGGAAATGACTCTAAGATAGAAGGATTCTAAGATAGCAAAAATCTAATATAGAAGGGCAAAAATGTCTGATATTCTAAGATAGAAGGAAAAATCTAAGATAGAAGGGTAAAAATCGCTGAAATTCTAAGATAGAAGGATAAATCTAAGATAAGAGGGAAAAACTGTCTGAAATTCTAAGATTAAAGGGAAAATTTCAGATAGAAAATACAAATAAATGACGTTATTTTTGTCAATTTTGGTAACTCTAAGATAAGAGGCACATACGGACCTATTGGGTCCCAGACAATGACTCTAAAGTCTAAGATAGAAGGTCTAAGATATGAGGGAATTTAACATTAGGCTTCTATGGAGTGAATCGGGACTTTGAGTTTGACTCTAAGATAGGCAAAATTCTAAGATCGAAGGATCTAAGTTACGAAGTTTAACAGTATAAGCAAAAAGTATATAAAACACAATTAGAAATATGCCATCGATTTGTCGATTAATTGAAAGCGAGATTTATTTCATGAATAATATAAAAGTCTTATAAAAAGTTTGCATTCAATGGGTTTTGTCTAAGTTTGAGTCGTTTAGATCCGGAATCTCTCATCACTTGGACCTCTATTTCCTCGTCTTTCATCAAATGGTCCACAAAATCGGTTGAATAGTTATTCACAGCGTATATGATATCAAAACGTTGTAAACTGTCCCTAATGTGAGACACAGATTAGCATTCATTTATAAATCCCTGTTTAGTTAAATAACATGTCTTCAGCGCTTCCAGTCGGTGACATCCAATTGATTAAATGCCACACAATTAGGCCATCAGTTATTCCCTGAACATAATCTTTAATTTGAGGTATTCTTTTGATAGTATTTTTGTCAATAGTATTCAATGGTATGACAATAAGGCCCAGAGATTTGTCGCTCACATATCTCTTGACTTTAGACATTACTTCAAACTTCATTCCTCTGTCGATAAATGCTAAACAAAATTACAATTATATGTCATTTAATGTAAAATCTAAATGAATTAATCGATAGTGAAAACAAACCATTGAGATAAGAGCCAGGAATGGCAACCCCTGAGCCGAGTTCAACCTCACCCGTGAGCACTGCGACCACATTTCCCTCTGAATCAAGTAGTGGTGAACCCGATTGTCCGCCAAATGTGATAATGGTGTGCATTAGAAACTCTTTGCCTAAGTCTACGTACGGCGGGAAATAAGTCCACCGACCGATTGAATAGGTCTCAGCCTTTCGGTCGCTATTCATCGCTAAACCAGTGGTCAGACAATAGATGATATCCGACGGGAAGCCAATCATCACCAGCTCTTCGCCAAACCCAACGTCGGACCTAATGTTTACTGCCATGAGTTCCGGATCGGGATCTGTCATACGGACGAGAGCCAAGTCTAAGCCCGGCTCGACGTACACCACATCCGCCGCTGACATTCTGGTCACAAACATATCGCCCGACTCTTCGTAACAACATTTCCAGAATATCCTTTTGTGCTCTTCAGTCACGTGAACATTGGTTACAACATATCCGCTATCGTTGACCACAAAACCGGTTCCGTTATGCAATTCTGTTCCTCTTTTGTTAGCAGTCTGTATGGGAATCCCTAAACGGACCAAATTAAAGGTCATGTCTTCGTATATCTTATCCAAACTCTTCAGATGAGCCCTCCGTAGAGAGAATTGTGGTCTCATTTGGCGATTGCATTGATTTCTATACCAATGATTGCCGACAGTTATCGCAACCGTTGTTAATATCATACGATTTCTGGTTTAGACATGATTTTGAAAAGTTTATGGATTTTGATATGGATTTTGGTTTTCATTGCAAATATATTTGACATAAACTGACCTAAAATTGGCGAATAATGGCATCATTTTAGATAAGATTTCTTTTACAAAGATTTCTTAAACATAATTTCAAATTTTAAATATTTAATGTTTAAATTAATTTTTTAAAAGGCATTATTCATAAAGCGTGAGATTAATAGCGTTAATAATCGATAAGAATATGCATTATTAAATGTAATTAAAAATAGGTGTATTAATTTTGTAACACTTAAATTTATTATTGAATAAAGCATTTAAATACAATTATTTGGCAAAATATAATGTAATTTTAGGACATTTTTGATAGAGATTATTGAGAGAGGTTTGGGTAAAACTTTTACTGTCAAAGAGTCTAACTCTTTGAAGTTTAGATAATTTTGACAACGATTCCCACGTTTTGGTGTCATTTTTAATAACATAACAATCAATGGATTCAAGTTTTGGGAAATAGTGTGAAATATTGTCACAAAACAGGTCGTCAACGAATCCATCAATATTTAAATGTGTTAATGATTTGCATTTATTCAACGATTCTTTTGTCAATTCAAACTCTTTCTCGTCTGTCTTAAGCCATACATTTCTAGACGTTTTAATTGATTAAAGTATTGATTAATTGTTTGTATTAAGACATTAAAGTTGTCCTTCTTATCGATACACGAATTCGTTGATAATCTCTTGAGTTTCGGACAATTGATACCAATTTGTTTCAATTCATTCACAATCACTGTCTCCTCTTCATAACGGGTGAAATAAAAATCCAGTTTTAGATCAATTAATGCTTTCATTTGTGACAAACCATACATTAGTTTTTTCGCTGACTTCTCATCGCATCTGATCTTAACGTTAATTGATTTCAAACTATTTTTATAATTGTTTACAAAACTATCGATACTTTCCACACAATTATCGGTGAAATTAAACTTAATTTTCTGTAGTTTTGGGAATAGTTTTTCGTTTTGATTACTGATTAATAATTGCAATGAATTTTCTTCAAATTCAGAGTCATTGATACGGATTTCAATTAAATTTGTGCATAAATTCACAATTTTGTTAAAACTATTGTTATATAAATTAAATTTAATTGTTTTCAATTGTTTGCCAAACTCTGCGAAAAAGTTGTCAAAATTGTCGACATTTCCAATTGTAATGATATTACGGACATTCAAATGATTGCAATGTTTTATAATTAAGTTATTATTTACTTTATTTAATAAATTCCTGTCATATCTCTTGAATTCAATTTTTGTGATGTTTTCACACTTTTTCACAATTAATTCAAATATTTCTTCAGTTATTTTATGCTTAAAATTGTCATCAAAAAAATGTATAAATTTGTGATCATATTTAAAATCCGTTTGTGTCGTGAATACCAATCGCTGCCATTGTTTGGACAGACATTCATATCTGAATCGGTCTTCAAATGAGAGATAAGACAATAAGTGTTGACACAAATCATCACCAAATCTATCAAAACTCTCTTTCGATGTCTTAATCACTGAATCACTTCTCGAAGACTGTCTTCTGGTGTTTGTGGATGTCTTGAGACAAACTTTGGTCACAATTGTCGGCTTTGTATCACTTCTAAGACTAACTCTTGTCATATTAGCAGACATTGTGTCACTCCTGAGACCAACTCTTGTCTTATTTGCAGACATTATTTGATATATTGATTGCAATTAATAACTGATTCAATGAAAGCATTAATTCATAAATTGATTACAAAATCACAGAATATTTCAAAAGAAAACAATGAATTGAAAGCTAAACACAAAACATGTGCTGAAAGTGAAGGCAATCACTGAATGACTGCTCTCTCTATTGACAACACTTTTCAACACTAATTCTATTGAATATCAAAATATCAAAACTTTTTAACTTATTTTAATTATGAACAT